ACTCATGGCAGCCCAGCTCCAGGTTGAGCTGTTGTTCAGCATCTTAGCTGTAGAGGGCAGTGTCACTGGCCCTCATATGTGGGATCCGAACCAAGGCCCTCTGGCGTCCCAAGCCAGCTCTTAACCAATGCACCACTCGGCCAGCCCCTTGGTAGATTTTCTTGAATGAATGTTTCTCCTTGCTGTATATCCTTAGGACGCTTTCCAGAGACTTTAAATGATGGCTGTTTTAAATAATTTTCTCAGTTAAATTGTTATTTTGCTGGGGAGAAAGTCTTCCAAGCTTGTTACTCCATCCTTCCGGAAACCTCACCTCTTGCTTCATCTTTACATGGTTACCATGACGTTTCTTGGCATCTGAGCAAAGGGGTTAACAGCTCAGGATCCCCCCTAACCAGCCTGGATTCAAGTCTATTCTGCCATTTGTTGGCAATGTTACTTAGAACAAGTTATTAAGCAACGAGTGGCTACCTCAGCAGTTTGTGATGAGAATAAATGAGCGAACCCATGGAAACATGCCTCCCTGGCAGTTTATTTGGCTCAGAGTTAGGTGCCCACTAAGTGATAGCTGTCACGCTCATCTAGTTAACCTGTGCATGGTGACAGATGCCACAAGGGGGCACCAAGAGCCAGTTGTAGTGATGAAGCACTCAAGGGATTCAGTTAGGTCATCCCAACAGTTTCATTTGGAGGCCAATCAGAAGTGGCTATTTTCCCAGACAACAGAAGGTGGAAGTTGAAGGCACTTCCTAAGCATCACCAGGTCATTTTGTCAAATGGAATCTTAGCTATGCAAAGGAGGTATGCGGTGAAGAGGAATGCCTTATTTGATTTAAAAGCCCTATTCCCATGTGCAAGGTAGTGTTCTAGGAGCTAGGGGGATGCAAAGGTTCCATTAAGGAATGATCAAATATAGAAAGTTGGTATTTACGTTTTGAGTGCTCACCATACCCTATATATACTAAAGAGCATTAGCCGGCATCCTGTTCCTTTAATTCTGATTGAAGAGGGCCCCAGAGGCTCGGTTGAGGACCTCACCTTTGTCAGAGGTTGATAAAGAGTCAACAGATACTCTGGAGCAGGGAGGAGGTAGCTCAATGAAGAAGGACCTTGGCATGATTTATGTGAGTGGAGTGTTGGAAAGAGTGGCAAAGCCAGGGATGCCCTGGGCAATGTTGCAGCTGACCAGTGTGAAGCCAAACTTTGTTAAAGCAAAACCTCTTAATCAAACTAAATTTTAAGAGAAACTCCAATAGTCACGAGAAATAAAAAGGGGGCTGTTGTTCTGCCTGAAACAGAAGTTTGGAACCTGAGTTTTCACCTACGAGGCCTCTTTCTCACCTTCTTAGAGCCCCCCAAATGGAGGATTGGCTAGCTTTGAACAACCAAATCAAACGTTGGAAGAACCTTGGGTGTATCTCTATGTAGACAATTTGAAAACCAGGGCAATGGTCCACACAGTCAAGGGAGTGGGTGAAGATGCAGCATAAAGGATGAAGAGTGCAAGGATGGAGAAAATGGGGCGGAGAGATGACCCAGGACCCTTACACGTGCTGCCCCCCCCCCCTGCCCCCTGGTGTCCTTGCTCAGTCACAGCTGCATCCCGTGCACTTTGCCTCTTTCCTCCTGGCACCATTTCTCCTGCTTTTTCTTCATATTCTGCCCATTGCCTCACCCTAGGTTCAGGGGCTGGGCTCAGTCTTGGGCAGTCATCTTGGTTCTTGTCCTTGGTTATAATTCACATCTGCCTCTCACTTCTAAGGCGCAACCCAGCCTGACCCAGCCTGACCCAGCCCCGTAAATGTGAGTCCTAGCATGGACCTAGGAGGCCACAATTTCTCCCAGAATTTTCTAGGTCCTGTGAAAATTAGGAAACAAGAAGGAAGAGGATCGAACAGCTGATTGTATATAGAGGCAGAATTAATAAAGGAAGGGAAAAAAAAGGAGGGAGTGTTATGGATAGGCTAATATTTATTAAGTGGTGTCTCTGTACCTGGCACATTGCTAAGATGTTATAGGCCCATGCTATAAACATCTTTGTTTTATATATATTTATATAATATATATTTTATGTATCATTTATATTTGTATAAATATCTGGAAGGCAGATGGGAATAGGATAAACTGAAATGCCATAAAGCACTCTGTTTTTGATGAGATTCAGCCATTTTTCCTTGAACAAATGCTTCTCGGGTTGCTGCGAGACTTTGGGTAATTTCCAGAGTTCTGAAAATGTTGATTCTGATCGCTTTTGTCAGTGTTCTCACTGCTCCTATGGACAAGTAGATTTTTCAGAAGCCTGTCCTCTGCCATTGGAGCCCTGGGTCACAGTACCCCCTCAGCGACGGCCCTCAGTGTTCCTCACTCATACTCGGCTGGTCGTCAGGACTCTGGGTCTTTTGTCAACCAACTGTTGGCTGCTCCTTCCTGTATTTGCTTGTGTATAAGTAGGTTTAAGACTTTGCATTTTCACTCATTACATTTCATTTTCTTCATTTTTGTTGTTTCAAGGTATCAAATAATTTTGAACCCTGTCATCAGTAAGTATGCTTTTTATTTTATTATTTTATTTTAGTTTTAGTTTTGTTTAAATCCTAGACCACATTACTGGCCTGAGTCATAGCACAGACCAGCCTTTGGGTGCTCCACTGGGTGTCCCCTCCAATGGGACATTTACTCCATTAACCAGTTTTGGACTCTTTATTTCCCAACTGTGTCTCTAGCATTCCAAAACCGACGAGTGAAACGACTTTTTCTAAAAAGGAAAGTTGGTTCATTTTACATGATTTATTCGTAGTGAATTTTTCCAACTCTTCTTGTTCACATTTTCTTTACTGTTCGGACATCATTTATTTCTAAAGAATGCTACATACTTCGTGAAGGATCAAGGATCCATCATTGACCCTTTTTGAAAATTGAGGCAACCTTGGTCTATCCTCAAAGTTCTAGCTGCTTTTTCAACTCTCCATACACTTCTCAAGGGACAATAGCAATTGTGTGAGAATTCATCTGAAACCTTAGCGATCTTGTCCCTGCTGAAGAAGGGCCAGGAATAGCCTGTCTGGGGGACACCAGCTTAGCTGCAGAAGCTGGTTCCAGTGTGGGCAGCTAGTAGGTAGCTGTAGGTGTGAGGTGGGAAATCTTCGGTGGCGGAGTTCCTTCCAAACTGTACTCAGCGGGCCATGGTGTGTTTCAGGGCTGTTTTTGTTTTGTTTTGTTGTTTTGTTTGCTTTTGTACATGACAGCCCTTAGTCAATAGTTAGTGGGCAGAGGGAGAGAATCCGATGTTCCCCGTTCTCTAGAAGAGGGGGCCGTGAGAATAATATGGGACAAAAAGGCCCAGCTAAGCTGACAGAAAGTCAGAGCTGGAGCCTCAGACACAGTCTCCAGGGCAGGAGAACCCCCTTCTGTGAACCGGGCCAGCTGTGTGGGCACAGGGGACGACAGCCCTGTTTGTACCACTGCTGACGTGTTTTCCGCCTGCCTCAGGAATGGCTGCAGATGGAGCGTGGCACATCTGAGATTCCGGGAGTGAGGGTCTGGAGGAGGCAGGAGCTACCGAACAATACCACCTTGGAGAGTTTGCCCAGTACAGTGCGAAGAACGGCCAAGGGCGGCTCAACAGACTGGTCAACTCTCTTGGCAAGTTATTGAATAGTACTTTGAGTTTCGAGTTTATCACTTTTAAAATAAAGGTAATTATATCTCTCTTGGAGGACGGGTATGAAAGAAAGAGATGTGCGTTAGGCATTCAATACACAAGGAACCCAGTGCGCTATATATACTTTGGGGAATTTCACTGTGTGTTTCTTCCTCAAAGCAATTTCCCACCTTGACTGGCAGATGGCGCCCGTGAGCAGCGCTGCCCTTTCCGAAGGCTGTTCTCTCCATCCTTTGGGTGCTAGGTAATTATCCTCCTCTCTGACAGTGCTCAGGCTGGCATTTAAATCCAGTACTGCACACAGACTTTGTGGTTTTGATCCATCTGCTCCATGAAGAACTGTGAAACTCAGAAATACCTACTTCTAGCCAGACACCCAGTTCTCCAACAGGATTTGTCAGTTGATAAGCCTTTTGTGATATAATAACCAGACACTTGGGCCGTCAAAAAAAGTCAAACATTTAATTAGGAATCTTTTTTTTTCTTTTTTGGTGCATGCTTATATGTTAGAGAAACTAGGAAGCATGCAGAGATTCAAAGTTCAGGCTGCGTGGGTAAATTATTGGATCTTTCTGAACCTCATTTTCTTCCTCTGCAAAATGGTTGTAATAATAGTAGCTGCTTCATAAGATCGTTGTGAGGATAAAATTACAATAGATAATGCACATTGGACATTCAGCATAAAACCCTGTACCTAGTAAGCTCTCGCTAAGTAGAAGCAATTATAACTGTCAAGGACATGAGCTTTGAAGTCAGAAGGACATAGATTTGACTCCTAGGTCAAATGTTGCATGACCTTGAATAAGTTATGGAAACTCTCTGAGCTCTACTTGCCTCGCAAGCTCCAAGATGATTATGAAAATTTCAGGGGTGTTTACATAATACCTTTTACTTTTTATTTGTATCATGATTCATTTCAGACCAAATCGGAGTTTACCCACTCACAACAAAAATGAGCCCAATGACTTTCTTTTTAAAGCAGGTCATACAACCAGGGGGAAGGAAAAGCGAGGATAAGAAAAAGAAAAAAATGAGGAAAAACAAGCGATACGATTAGGATCTTAGACGATCACATCACCAGAGTCTGTGTAATTGCTAGCGATGGGTCATAAATTTGGCTTTGAGTGTCTTAGCATCGCAGGCAATAAAGAAAAGAAATATGTTAGTGAAATGATTTGGAGTGCCAGTGAAAACGCAGAGGAGTTCTGAAGAAGAAACCCAGCTGTTCCCAGATCTCAGACTGAAGAGCCTGTACCGCAGCACATGGTGAATACACAATAGATGTCTAAATGTCAGTGTCCTCATCTTCAAGCACAGAGGAAAGAGTCTAGATGCAAATGCAACATGAAGAGGTGACTTCTGAGCTGAGTAAGAGTGGACTGGGGGGGCGGAGAAGGGAGGAGTCCATCCAGGGGGAGAGTGTGACAGTGTCTGGACCATCCCCACCCACCGGCAGCATGGCATCTCTAAAGCCAGGGACTGATGTAGTTCGCATGGGGTGGAGATGAAGCTCCCCTCCGTCTGAAAGGCACAGGGACTTGTAGAGAGAAGCCTGGAAGGAGAGGTGGCTTGGGGACTTGGTGTCCACACATCTGCTTTGGTTTAGAGTCTCCTTCCTCCTGCACATCTGGTGTTTAATGACGGTCCTCAGAGGGAAGTGAGTTGTCTTTTTCTGGGTGTGTTTTCTTTTGTTCTGTTTTCCTAAGGACTCAACCTTATGGCTCTTGAAGGCAGACCATGGTCAGGAGGGTTACAGGGAATGTTACTTTTTTCTCCAGGTCTTCTCAGCCATTACAGCCAGAGGAGTTTTGGACATAACTGATCAAGGAAGTGTGTTTAGGATGTAAAGAGCCATACGTAGCATTGTTAGGGCACTGTGTTCTCATTCCTTTCTCTTCTCACACCACTGGACTCTCTGAACTTTCTACTGCTTCCTTCTTCAGTTTTCCAACACATATTCTCATCCTCTCTCCCTCTCCCTCTCTCTCCCTCTCTCTCTCTCTCTCTCTCTCTCTCTCTCTCTCTCTCTCTCTCTCCTCCACTCCTTGGGACTTGGTCCTAAATAAATCTATATGCAAAGACAGCGCATTGCTGCTTTGAGATGTTTATGCCCCGGAGGTTGAAAATTAGCTAATTAGTGATTACAATTAAGTTTGGATTCCTGAACACATGCTTGGTATTATTGCTTTCCTCTCAGTATAAATTGAGTCGTCACTCATTTTCAGGACTTAAGTACCTTTCGGGCTGTTTGACCACAGTAGCCCCGCGTAGTAGCTTATTATCGCTGCAATCATCTATTTTCTAAGAATTCTGCCCAGGACCAATTCTTGGTGTGGTTCTGATTGGTATCGTTGCACCCTCTGTTTGATGTTTGTGATGGAGTCCACATTTCAGCCAGCTCTGTCCAGGCCTGGTGGGAGAGGCACAGGATGGGAGAATCAACACGTCAGGGTTCCAGGTGTGATTGTCATAGACAAGTTTGGTGGCTTTGGATAAGTCACTTCTGTTTTCTAGTGCTCGATTTTTCCATCTGTTAAAAAAAAATAGAAATTGTGTCTTAAAAATAATTTTGTATGTGTGGATTTTTCTAGGGAAAGGGTCCATGGCTGTCGTTATTTTCTCAAAAGGGTCTGTAACCAACAAAGGTTAAGAATCCCTGGACTTGTTGATTTATAAATTCTTATGCTCCACCTTAGAGCAATTCTTTGGCTCTGTACTTCAAGGAACGTCATACATCTAACCATTCAGCACGTTCTTGCTGACTGCCTATTGTGTTGAATCTGGTCTTTTGATGTGGTCCAAGGATGTACAAGTAAATCAGTCAGTTTCCAAGGAGACCCCTCTCCCATGGAAAAGACAGATCCACAAACAAAGGATTATGATAAGACGTCCAAAGTATAATGATGGAGATATACTCAGGACATTTGAGGAACATGGAACGCCTGGAATTGTTGGCAACTTTGGCTCCTTGCCTCCCAACGGCACATGAGCGGAGAGTGGGGGCTGTTCAGGACTCCCTTTCAGGTTTGCACAGTGGAGGACATGTTCCCATCCAGTCTTTCTGAAGGCCAAAGGCCCCCACCGATCCTGTCCCTCCCCACACAGGGTCTCTCTCCTTGTGCTGCCAGCAGGCGTGGTGATCTTAAGTGGACATGGGCCCCTCCTTCCTAGATGAAACCATACTGTGTGTTCCTCAGACCGCCTCCTTCTGGACAGGAAGCCTCATCCCCTGCGGGAGCCCCAGAATCCCACCAGCCCCTCTTTTCTTGCTCTTACTGGGCTCTCTTGGGCCCCTTTTGTGCCCAGCACTCCAAGACTGTGACTCTTAGAGACGTTGATGAATGTGTTATCACACAGGCATCTTATTCTTGCTCAGGTGTAGACCCTAGCAGTTCCCAGTGACCTCACGGTTCTGCAAGAAACACGGTTCAATGGGAAAACTATTTTTAAATAAAAAAGCAGGAATATTTATATCAGCACATGGGGGGGGGGCGCAGAGGGGCAGATGCTGCAGGAGGCCTGGGTTCCAGTCCCAGTTCCCTTACTTACCAGCTGGATCTAAGCCTTCCCACCCCATTGGTACCCCTCTTCTCAGCAACCATCACCTCTGCCCTCAACCAGCCCACTTAGCTTTCACATATGCCCCACTATAATTCATTCTCCATATGGCAGCCCGAGGGAGCTTTTAAAAATGGAAATCAGAACATGCCACTTCTCTACTAAAACTATCCATATATTTTCATTGAACTTATACTAAAATCCAAACTCCTCACCAAGTCCTGTAACACATTCCATGATCTGGCATCTGCCTACCTCTCTAGCTCTATCCTGGACTCCTCTCCTCTTCAATAAGCTTGCTGACCTTCTGCCTGTCTCTGCATTGCAGTAATGTCAGTTCTGCCTCAGGGCCTTTGCACTTGCTGTTTTTGTTGACTGAACTGCCCTTTGCCCATCTTGGCATGGCTTCTTCCTCTTATGATTCAGATGTCAGCTTAAAAGTCATTAAAAAAAAATTTTTTTTTGTGAGAGTTCTTCCCTGAGGTTCTCATCTAAAGTTTCCCCACCGTACCCTCATCACAGCTTTTTAACTCTGTTTTCTTTTACTCTCCTATGGTGTTTATTGTAATCTGAAATTATCTTGTTTGTTTATTGTCTGTCTCTCCTGCCCCACTAACGAGCCTTGTCTGTCCCATTCATTGTTGTACTCCCTGCATCTAGAATAGGGCGTGATCTGTAATAGATAATCAAATATTTGTTGAGTGACTGAATGAATAATGATGGTACAGCCATGTGATATACTTGAGCCCCCCCAAACCCCAGCTAGACGTCTGATGATCCTTAGAAAACTCTCTGCAGCAGACATCACTATTAGAGCCTCAACTTTACAGTTGAGGAAATGGAAAGTCAGATGAGTTAAATAATTTGCCTAAAACCATAACTGTGGCCTGGAAGTGTATCCCCCTTGAGAGACCAATAAAGATTTGAGGGAGGGAGGCAGGGGAGAGAAGTTCTCTCCATTCTTTCGAATTTTAAATGCTGCCAGAAAGTTACCCATCCACTGGAGAATGAAACAATATGGTACCTACTGGGTGCAGCCCAAAGCAAATCCTATGGCCGGGACTCAGCCCAGTGGGTGACAGGCTTTATTCCCACATGTCAGCTTTCTGTGTCTGATTCGTTCTGAGCACACCCCCTGCATTCATCACTCATTTATTTATACATTGGTTCATCACATCTGTACTGTTAACAGCCAGGCACGATCACAGATACAAGGCAGCTCCAGGCAAGAACCCCTGATGTATGCTAACAGCCCGTCGCGTCTCCCCAGAGGTGCATGGACCCTAATCGGGTCTGTTGGTCAAATGCTAATTCTTTTGACTACATAAGATGATGCATATCAAGTGCTTATTAGCCAGGGTTCTGGCACGGAGAAGGCACTCCAGGAATGGTACTGATGATGGTGATGGTGGTGATGATGATGATGATGTTAGAACCTAGCCCTTCTTTCTCAGCGAGGTTGCCTAGAAGGAGAGAAAGATACTCTAAGTGCCCTTGGCGTTCCTCCCCCTTCCAGAGTCATCCTATTAAAACAGCCAGCACACATGACTACCATTGCCTTTTCCTAGGTCCACAGCCTGTACAGGCAACTGAAAGTAATAAGCATAATTTAAATGCTGTGTCTTTCCTAATTAAAATCTATCCAGAAGGGGATGCCAGAGTTATTTTAGTCCATGTGGCAGAGGAAGTTCCATTATATTAATTCAGGCTTCTAAACAGAGTCCAGGGGGGATGTGTGTGTGTGTGTGTGTGTGTGTGTGTACAAATATGCATGCATATGCATATAATATAAGTTTGGGGGGGTGCACCCAAGTATGCATAGTTGGCCCTGAACAGGTTGTAGAGTATGACTTTTCAAAGGGAGCTGTTGATAGAGCCACTGGAAATTGCTTCCTGAGGCGCCCCAGGCTGGTGAATAATCCTGGGGTCTGCCTGGGCCCTTTCAGGTGGTTCCGAAGGAACCCACTGGAATGGCTTTTCCACGAGGGTTTGCCGACCCGGCCCTCTCTGCGGAGGCTCCACATGCTTGGCGGCTGTCCTTGGAAACACTGGTTGCCAGAGCAGCTGCGTCAGCCTGGCTTCCCCAGGAAAGACGGGAAAGCAAGCAGGGAGCCCTCTATTCACCCAGGGGCCTCTTTCCAGAGGACCACTCCCCAAGCAAACCACACAGGAAACCAGGTCCAGATAGAGAAAAGACAGTGGAAAAACAAAGAGGAAAAGAAGGGAAGGCAGGAAAACTAAGAAGCACAAGTGGGTTTAAAAGGTTGAAGAGACATTCTCTCTGAGGGTAGGTTTGCTTTTCAAGGGCAGGAGTTGGTTTCTGTGTGGGCGGACAGTTGGCTGAACTATGAAGACAGTTTAGGGCACGCTTTTCATTCCAGAGGATCACCTGGCCCTGAGCCCTCACTATCACTGCTAATGTTTTTGAAACACATCTCACTGTATTTTCTCTTCCTGATCAATCTGTTTCTTTCCCAGCAGCCCGTCAGCCACTGGACAGGAGAAGAGAAAGCCATGGGGTAGTGAGAAGGAAGATACGATCTTAGGGGAACTCGATTCCCACCCAGAAGGAAAGGGGAGGAAAAACACTTACAGGTCAGAGAAGGGGGCTCAGAAGAGAGAAGACGGGGCAAGTGGTGTGAGATGTGGGTGTTTCTGCTCCCCAAATCCAGGTCAATCCCAGGGTTGTTGGGGATGGGAGACAAGGAAAGATGTTTAACAAGGGTTTAGAAACACCCAGCTAGGGAACTAGGGTAACTTTCCCCTGGGAAATGCAAATTTTTTTGTTTAAGATTATATTGGGGAATCAGGGAAGGAGAACAGACAAGTTGCTGTCCTTTTGTTTTTTAGTCTAGTTGTGGAGAATGTCGCCTCACTGGCCCATGTTGGCACTATCATTGCGCTCTTCCCAGGTGAGGCAGATTGGTCACCAGCCACTGGATGGCCACTCATGGCGGCTTATGGCAGCTCACGCTGGCTGCCAGACACCCACGGTAGCTCACAGCAGCCCACTGCAGCTTCACTGCAGCCTACACCGTCGCCGGCGACTCACAGCAGTCCAGCTCCAGGTCAAGCTGTTGTTCACCATCTTAGCTGTAGAGGGCGCAGCATCACTGGACCTCATGTGGGATCCGAACCGGGGCCCTGCTGCTCAGAGCTGGCACTCTCAAGCCAACGCTTAACCAATGCGCCACTTGGTCGACCCAGAAATGCAAATGTTTTAGACAGCCGTTGGTCTGCTCAGTACATATCCAGCAAGACTCCAGGGCAGGGGGAGCAAGGACTAAGGAAGGTGTTCAGGTGAAGGGGCTGGAGGTCCGTCTGGCAGAGACTTGCAGACTCCAGCCTGATGAGTGCACACACCTGAGAGTTTCTGGGCTCCCCGGGGTAGTGCAGAGGCTGAAAGAAATGAAGGATCAAAATAGATCCAGGTGGGGGATAAGGTGGCTGCAGGGCATGGGGACTCACCTCTGGAGGCCGAGTTGGGGACCACACACAAACTCCAGAGGACGAAGTAGGATTCCCTTTCCAGGCAGACACCCAGGAACCAGACCAAGACATCAGCTCGTGGAGCCAACACAACCCCCACTACCATAGGGCTTGTGAGTTCCTCCTCTCCACATACAATCTGGAGAAAGAGAAGAAGGTGGAGACATATCTTGAGCAAAACTTCCCCGGACATTTGGATTTGGAATTGATTGAATTCTTAACCCCCAAAAATTAAGTTGAATGAAAGAGCCTGTTTTAAATTGGAAAAGAAGAAATTCCTTTTAATTGGCCAATTAAGTTTTCTAGGGACTCAAAGATGAAATCAATTATGGATACTTGTAAAAGCTACATTTTTTCCCACAAGTGAATTTCAGTGTAAAATATTTGACCTCTGTATTATAATGACCTTACACATCTGCAAGCAGATTTAGAGCATACAAGTCATTTTTCTACACATTATCTTTTTTGAACACCACATCAAAGTAAAGTAGATGTTCTTGTTCCAACTTTACAGATGCAGAAAACACACACTTAGTGATGGTAGGAGGACTGGTCCAAGTTCAACAACTTATTGTAGAAGAGGGCCTCTTCCAAGTCCATTTTCATACAAGCTGCTGAGTTTCAGTCTAACATAGTGGTTCTCAGCTGGGCCATTTCTGGAAACAATTTTAACTGTCACAACTGGGATTGGGGTGGGGGTGCTGCTGGCATCTGGTGGGTAGAGGCCAGGAATGATGCATAGGACAGCCCTCACAGCAAAGAATTATCCAGCCTGATATGTCGTAGTACCGAGGTGGATAAACCTTTTGGTATATTACCAGGAATTCCTGGGGAGGAAATTTCTTTCCCACTTGAAAAAATAGACAAGGACCCAGAACCAAGATGATTACAATTTAATAAGGAAGACAACTGGTCAACCTTAACTTGCCAGAGACATAGCCTCATAAAAGCCTTATTTCAAAAATGCTATGGGGGATGAGTGAGTCAAAGGTCCTGAGGAGAGGAAATTGTACCCACCCTGGGCAAGGAGGCACCCAGGGGTGTACTCAGAGCCGATAATTTTTAACCTCCTTTCCTCTGAACAACACAACTATTTTCATTAACAATTATAAATTAAAACAAATAATAACAGCCGGAAAGCCATGAAGTTTTTCTTCTATCGAACATCATATACAAAATCCGATTAGTAACAAAAATCAAAGAGTGAAAAAGGGAAAAAAGTAATAGAGTAATACTTTGTAATTACATTAATGTATTTTTTTTAAAAAGAAAAAAAATGCATACTCGCATGTTGGTCGGAATAATGAACGATATTACAGATTCTATGTTTGTGCCTTAACTTCTGTAAATCTGTCAATGATCTTGTCCAGAATGGTGTCCTTTGCATATTCATGTTCAGGAGACAATGTAACCAGATTTGTCAAGCTATCTTCTCTCATAGTTGATGGAAGAATTTTTTTTCTTAATTTTAATTTTGTAATTTTTCACACGAAGCAACAGGTTTACAAATAGGAATTTTAATATCTACCCAAGGGCAAGTTTGGCAGAGATGCATGAGACATTCCATTTCTCAATAAATTCCAGAAGTTGCAATACTGCCCATGTCTGTTTCTCTTCAGGATCTATTGTAACAGCTTTCCAAAGTCTTCACTTGAAAATGCCTATTAAAATACTTTCAGCAGAAAATCCATCATATTTCTATTGCATTGGCAAAAACTATATAAATTTATCTTCTGCAAAAACAGAGAAAATGGCTGAATAACGGCGAACACTGATATTGCCATTTTGGAAATCCCTTCAGAGTGTGTCCCCTTATTGCCTAAACCCAGGGCTCCTCCATCCTGCTGCCAGGTCCTTGGTATGTGTCTATCCATGGATGCTTCCTGGAGGAGGTGTCATTGTTTAGGGGAAGGACCTATGTGGGAAGGCAGGTTGCAGTGCATCAGCATTCTAAGATTAGGTCCTTTCTTTGTTTTTTAATCTTTGCAAAAGGAACATGAAAATACAAAAACACATTAGAGAATAAGGATCACGTTGTTAAGATTAGTTTCGGTTGCCATCTGTAACGTGCCTCAAAGATGTTGACATCTTTGCGGAGGGGTTACGTTGTAGACATGTGTGTCTAAACCACATTGTAGGAAGTTAGCCATCGCAGAGAGGGACAGATGGAGAGCTTGTGTTGGGAGTGGGGTGAGGTCAGGGGGAGGGAGTGACTGCTTCCAGCCAGTGGACTGGAGAAGAGTTCACGGGAAAAGGAACATTTCAATTTGTCTTGAAGAATGGGTAGGATTTGGGTCCTTAAAGACTATGCTCAGGCCTAGAAGACAGCAGACTGAGAGGGTGAGGCTCTTCTGGCCTCCATTTCTCCATTTGCAAAACAAGAATCAGAGCATCTTTGCACTCTGGGTCCACAGGGAAAATAGCAAAAGAGGAGATACGGTGCTCTATGAAACAGCCTGGCCTGGCAAGGAAGGGGGTGCTGGAATCGTATTTAGCTGTGTGAAACATTCAGCGAATCCTTTTTCTTCTCCAGACCACAGTGTTCTCATCTGAAAAATCAAAGCATTTGCCAGCTGAAATATCTTCAAGGGGTCCTCTGATGCAGACGTTACCGTGTGATCCTAAAAGTGTCTTGGGGTGGGTTTCTGAGAATGGGAATTGGGCTTCCTGCTTACACAGACACTTTGGTGAATGGGGATCAAGTCAACTGTGGTGTTTACAAGGTCAGAGTCATGGGGCCAGGAGATCAGGGCTTTTCCCATCCCATGCACCTGCCTGTGGCCTTGAATGTCCGTCCTCACTTCCCCGACAGTCACTCCCACCTCACATCCCCACTGCACCCCCACCACCACAAACAAGAAGGGAAAGAAGGAAGGGAGAAAGGGAGGGAGGGAAGGAGGGAAGGAGAGAGGGAGGGAGGGA